ATTTACAGAATCCTATAATACTAATTTTAGACAAAATATCAGGCGTAAGACACTATATTGTATGAAACAATAAAATTATACAATTGAAACCAATTTAAAATCAGAATATTAGAAAGATTATATAAAAAAAACGTAACAAGTCTAAAATTTAAAATAATATTATGTTTTGTTTGTGTAATATTTGTAACACGGCTTATTGTATAGGCAATATAGGTACATAACATACATTTTTGCAGAATTTGCATATTTAAAAAATTACAATTCGAATCGCCATATTTTTCGTATGATATTATTAAGTATTTTTGTTTTAACTACTGTATATATAAATTGGAAATTTCATTGACGTCTAAAGAGAATAGGCGTATTGGGCCTTACCTATCAAATTATTTAGCAGTAAACCAATTCACTTGCTTCGGAAAGTTTAAAGTAATTCTTGATATTCTAAGTGAAGTAAAGTTGTTGTGTAATATGATTGAATACTATATTGATGGACTTGATTAACATTATATTATCACATAAAACAATTTGCTCAGCTTTTCAAAGTTGTTAAAATATATTAATGGCTTGATGGTGTAAAATATTGTTTTTCACCTGCAAGTTGTTTAAAAAAAAAAAAAAAAAAAAAAACTATTAATTCAGTGCAATGTAAGTTTGAAACTATATAATTATGTTGTAACTTGTGAATAATTATCGTATGTGAAAAATTATTTTATTGTTTTACATACTTAAATTGAAATAATTTGTTTAACTTTAAATTAAAAGCTTGAGAAGACCACTTGACCAGATTTGAATAAACAATACATATTTAAAGGATTTAAATCATTTTATTTTTTAAATGTTAACAGTTTTTAAGAAAGTTTTTGTAAAATAAATTTTAAGAATATAGACAAAATGTCTCAATAAAATATGTTAAAACCTAACTGTAACTCTGTACTCACTTTTTGTAATAATACTAGACTATTGCGTAGAATTTATTAATATGAAAAATAATAATTTTCCTTTTACAATAGCTCTTTGCTAAACAACATGTTTAACTACAGTTGTCAGATTTACTGTCAAGACTTATTATAAACTTTTTCCATTAGAACAACTCTCGTTTTATTTTGTGCGTAACTTATGAATTGTCTACATCTATTAGTAAAGGTAAATTCCTTAACTTTAATATACCTTATAAATATCACAGAACCTACAATAAAAAAAATCTGCAATTTATCAATACTTTATGTACTAAAGAAAAAAGTTATTTTCAAAACTAAATTTTGTTTTACATTTGAAAATTTTTGGTTAGTTATTATTTGTGGGTCTTTTCTTGAGCGAGTATGTTAAATAATGTAATATATTATATTAAATAACAACTGATAATGTATTTGAGAATTATTTCTGATTTTCGAAAAAAAAATATTGATGTAAATTAATTATAATAAACGACAAAGATAAAAAATAAATAAAATTGTATTTCACGAAAAATATGAAGTAAAATTTTTGAAAATTGTTTAATGTAATGTGATTCTTTGATAAAAAATGAGCAATTTTCTACTTAAAAAAAAAAAAAAAAAATTATTATTAATTAAAATATTTGAAGATGTAAGGTTTTTATTGGTGTATTTTTATACTAACTTTTATAAATCGTACAATAAGTATAATGTTCGTTAAAAAGTCTATTTTATTTTATAATTGTGTTGAATGAAATTAATCAAACTCAATTTTGGTCATTAATTTGATGGTGGAAATTCAATTGAATTATATAATTCACTAATTAAATACTAATTAATTACTAATATATAAAAGTTACATATATTATTAATTATGCGTTAGGAAAATTTCATAAATTTCATAAAAATTTCTACATTTTATTGACATGAGAATCGTTTTGTTTTCAAAGATTATTTCTAATGAAAAATTACTATTGATTTTAATAAAATAAACTAATGGAGTAATCGTACTATCATCTTGTAATGTAATTAATGTTATAATATTGACGTTTATATTTATTAATTTTTATCCTATAAAAGTTTTTTTTTACTTTATTTTGTTCTAAATTAATTCAATCTAGGATTAAAAATTATAGTTGAGAGTTATTAATACCATTATCTTTATTTTTTAATATTCATTGTATATAAGTCACAATATAGGTTTAATAATATTTTCTTTATTCAATTTTTATATTTAAAATAACGTAGTTTTTAAGTACTATTTTATTATAATAAAAGTTTTCAAAAAGTTTTCATTGCATATTGTTTAATCGTTTATTTTAGTTTTACTATGGAAAAATAAACATTTTTATAGTGATTTATTTTGATTGTTATTGATTGGAATTCGAGTTAACGTATTGTGTTTTCTTCATCGTTGCAGTAGATTATTTTACGAAATTTAATTTAAAATATAACTGTTTTCTTGGAATAGACTATATAAAAAAATGAGGGTCATTAAATTTTTCATTTACAGATTATGTTTGAAACATTAACCTAATGAAACATGAGATATTTATAATTATATGCAAATCACATAATGCAATGTGATAGTCGTCTAAAACTGTTTTTAAAATCAATATAATTCATTAATTTCATTTTAAAAGTTTGTCTTTGGACAATCGAATACAATGGGTCATTTAAAATAAGAGAGTGAAAAATAATTGAATTCATCTTTTACAGGAGATTCGTTTATCAGACGTTCGCAGGGTTTATATTTAATTACAAAAGTTATGTAATAAATGATCGCAAAAGTTCTCTTTTGGTTGTCCTTAGAACATATGTTGAACAATTAACTGCATTACACAACACTTTGAGACTTAACTTTAATGTGTAATCTCTTAAGATACAAATCTCTTAATAACACGAAACGCGCACTGGTGCACTTAGAAGAATGTAATGATTTTAGCGGTTAATAATTGTTATTGTAGGTTCACAATGTAGAAATAACTTAAAACTTAAAAAAGTTTTTTTCTTTTACATTTTTAACTTCACTATTATAAGACTAAAAATAAAAAAAGTCATATTGTTATATTTACATAATTATTCTTTGATGTCCTCTACCATGTATTAGACGAACTTTATCACACAAATAACTTAGTTATGATAAACCTGGAAATATTAAAAGTAGTAGGTATGATAGATATATTATTAATTAACTATACCGCTGTCCTGGATTACAACTAAATCATATAATTTAAAATATTTAAGTTAAAAGTTTAATTTATTTGTTACCTATTTCATTAATTTAGATAACATTATTAAATACAAAAATAATATTATCATAGTGTGATGTGAGTTAAAATATATGCTTATAAAACATCGCTCATTAATACAGTTCTAAAATCCATCATATAGTCGCAGGACATAATATTATTATATTATATTTAAAAAGATTGGAATCTTTTAGTTTTAAATATGCATACATTATATTATAAAGAGTGTGTATTATGCATATATTGTACATTATTTTTCACAAACATAATGCATATACGTTGTATTTATGTATATGTATGATTTGCTGTTTATTTTAATGGAATATTTCTTATTCTTTGAGTATTCATGAAACATGCAATATAATATTATTCCCACGTGGAAGCAATACATAAAATATTTTTTCAAGATAAAATTGTCATCAAGTAAAATTGAAACGGTATTTGTTCAATAAAGAAAAAATATTTCTCTGTCTAGATATCGACATTTATTTTTTATATCGTAATAATATGTTAGAGTGTATCTGTCAAAGTGAAAATTGGCCAAATAACATATAGTATTTATAATGTTTGTTTTGTTTTATTGTTATTATTTATTTTCAACATACTTTAACTTTGACGTAATGACTTAAGATTTATAATAATTTATAGATAAATAATTTAAAAAAAAAACGCAGTTTGCTTGTGTTATCAAATAAAAAATGACATGCATGGATATTTTATAAAAATTATGGAGGTAAAATTTTGTAATATTACAATATTTTATTAACATAATAAATGTGAAAAAAATTAGTAGTGAGAATAATACAAAATGTATTATTTAAAGATATGAAATTATTCTATCTTATTGTAAGCTTTGATTTTGATTTTTGCATTATACAAAGATATATAATACAAAATGGATACATTTGACTAAGAGATAAAGAGTAAAAAATTGTAATTGATTCAAACAATTTTTATTTTAATAACTAAAAATACTTTTTTTTAAATATAAAATAGAGTAATACGTTTAAGCGACATTTTTTAACGACTTGAAATAAAAAATATAACAATTGTAATTATTGCACACTACATAACACAGACCTTAATATAGGTATTTAATGTAAAAACAGTGGATTTGTATAATGAAGCTTTTGTTTAAATTAGGCTTTAAATGAAAATATTTTTTTTGTTTATTAATCAGTTTTTTTTTTAAATCGCACACCATATTTTCATTTTAAGCCATATAATTATATATCTAAATGTATTATTATAAATAAATTATATATTAAATATGTATTATTACATTCACGAACACCTATTATACTATCACTAAATTTACACATTTACATTAAATTTTACATTTATACATATACCGGGTTGCATAAAACCGTTTCTTAAATGTATTTTAATGAACATTTTTATCGAACCATTAAATCTTTCTATTCAGCTATTTGGATGGCACAAATAGTCGAATAAAAATGAATCGGTTTTTAAACATGATGCCAAAGTTTATGTGTAAGTTTGAAACTCATCACAAGAAAAGTGGTAATAACTCTTCTAGCTGTTTTAATTTGAATATAGGTAATAGAGTAGAGTAACGACGTGATAAAAAATTGAATGACTAACAGTAATTTAAAGAGTCGAAATCGGACCATTAGTTTAATTAACTGGTCTCCAATAATCTAGTGATTACATGACACTATTGAAAATTAAATTAACGTTTAGTGGGTGAATACATTTTTATTCATTAATCATCGTGCTATTTGTTCAATGAAGTTCATGCAACCCAGCAACAGCGTTTCAATTATTCATATATTTATTTGTTTTTACACATTAGCTGTTGGATACACGAATCTCTTTACTCATGGATATTGTCGGGCCCGGTCTGCTTGTCAATGTTGGCTAACCTCGTATTTCTGATAAACATCGTCAGACTACTGCTAGTCAAGTTACACGCCCGGCAGATCACCATGTCCAGTCCAAAGCACGCGGCGCCCAGGGAACGGACGCAGTCGTTCAGCCTCCGAAGGTGAGTAAAGTCTCGATCCATAAACCGGACCGATATCTTTAGCAAAGACAGTTAACAGCCCGGTATCGTTGTTATAAATATTTTGAGCTTATAAACGCAAATACGAGTCATGCCCTTGTGTCCAATAGCTTCAAACGGAACAATTGCAGTGTGGACAGCTATGATAAAGCACCGGCGTCATCGAGTCGGACAGGCAAAGCTGTCCGGGCTACACTCATTCTGATACCGTTACTCGGGCTTCAGTACATTGTGACACCGTTCCGACCGGAACCCGGTACTTCTTGGGAGCCTGTGTACCAAGTTACATCCGCAGTAGTCGCCTCGGGCCAAGGCTTGTGCGTGGCGCTGTTATTTTGCTTTTTCAACGGAGAGGTGAAGGCGCCGACAATGTTTATAGTATTAATATCAATTGATCTTAGATAATAATAGTTTTTATGTTCTGTTACGAGCAGGTACTTTCCGAAATGAAAAAATGGTGGAAACACTGCTGGATCAACAAAAATAGATCGTGGAATCCTTGCTTAAGAGCCACGTCTGTCTCCTCGCCGCAAAATCACCCACGTCTATTGGTGACTGAAGACCAACAGACCCAGGTGACTTTATAACTCGTTTTTTTTTTTTTTTTTTTTAATTCATAATATTTGAAATATTTTCAAAAAACTGAATTTTGAAAAAATTAGTAAAAAAAAATAGCATTTTATATAAAAAAAATTCACTGCATATGGTATAATAGTAATAATATATTGACGAATGACTGTATTCACTATTGTTTATTTAAAAAGTTTTAATTTTTATTTTCAGAGGACTGGGAGCATACAAGTTTTGCCGCGAAAAGATTCTGCTGAATGTTTTCAAAATGTTCAACTCTAGAACACACAAAAAACGCGTTACGACATTTATTTTATTTTTTTCCTATACAATATAATACGTGTAATATATTATGATATAATGTTTTTCTGTCGCCACTCAGACGATGGCGTCCCTTATCTGCGATTGGACTGGTTGTGTAGTGCCCGTTACGTTGGTGTGCGTAGTGCCACGTCTCTTGATCCTCCGTATATACTTGTGAAACGCTCCATGTACGTCAACGTTGGCAAAACAGAACAACACGGATACACAGAGGCCCTGCAGAACACGACAATAAATGACACGGTTAGAAAATGACAGTAGTAGTTGCTATAGAGGTGTGCTCAGATATTCTCGGATTTCCATATATAATCAGCCATCGCGGCCTGGATGTCCATGTAATTATATTTATATTGATTTAAATTTTGAAAAAACTCTAATTTTTGTACAATTAGTCTTTGGTTACATGTTTTTTTTTCATGTCATGACAATGTGTTAACTTGAACGATGTTAATTGGTAAGTGGAGGTTAAAATATTTTTGCGTTACTTTTACTTTGGAAAATCTGAGCACATCATCATATTCGGTGTTGGGAAAACAATTTAACTTTATAAACAAGGCTTATTAAAACCGAACAATTAAATTATAATAAATATAACTTATGAATAAGGTCATAATATAATATAATAATAATTTTAAATACATGTTTTCTCTCTTTAATATAAAAAAAGTTATTAATTTATTATTTATTTTTTTTATAATTGTCGTGGAATAATAATAATAATAATAATAAAAAAAAAAATGATTGAAAAAAAATACATGAATATAGTTGAGTATTGAAATATAAAAAACATTTGAAATAAAATATCAGATAGGGTTGGCAAAATCTATGGTGGTAGGCGAGTGTAATGAGCAGGGGACAAATACCACTATTGCTACTATTGATTAATAAAAAATAAAGCTAAACAAATATAACCATGAACAATGATTTGATATTTAATCACGAAGTTTAATATTAATTTTACCAACTATTATTTTTTTTATAGTGAAATTTTTTAATATTGATAAATTTACATTATCCTATAATTACTATTAGCGAATTTAATGAAATGTATAGTTATGTTTATATTATAGTTTATAATAAATTTAAAATCAATAATATTTATAATGACATTAATAAATTAATCGTTAGTATTTAATCATAGAGTTTTTTACCCAACACCACACTCACGTGGTATCCAATCATATAGATACTAGATTTATGGGTATGGATCGGTCTCGTACCTCATGGGTTTAGGATATTCGTGGTCGTGAATTTGTTTCTTCGTCATAAAACGTTTTTTATTCACTTGAATTCAACGACGAAAAAAAAGTCAATAGTTTCAAATAAGCCCAAACGTTTCACGTATTATTATCATATCCATACTCGTTTACTTAGTATATTATAAATATATATATATAACTCGTATTGGAGTAATAATAAATATGAATAAAATATATAATATTATAATTATTGTTGAAAAAGTATTAATGGTAGTAATTAAAATACAGGTGTGATTTCGTCGTCATCTCACTCACCTGGGTGGACACAAGTATTACGGAAAATATTTGATAAACTGTTTCTATGGTGGTCTTGTGCTTGGGCCTATACGGTATGAGAATGTAGTGTATGCCAAACAACGGAACTAGGATCAGAGCTGCCCTGACCGCCTTACGGACGCCGATTGGCGCCGGGTTTGTCGAATTTCGGTGCAGTTTGGTCAGTAGCACCCGCATGACGTTCATCAGGAACAGTAAGCTGGTCAGTATGGAGGCGAAAACCGGTATAGTCAGCACCCACTGGCAGTGGCTGTCGTGCATCCAACACCTGAAATATTATTATTATTATTATTATTATTCTTAGGATTGGTTTTTTTTTTTTTTTCGTGTCGTAAACATAAAATATAAATTATTATTACAATTTGTATCGCAGTTTGTGTTGATGCTATATTATATATTATATAAGTACTACATTTTAAATGATAATGCGTTAAAAATTTCGATTTGTATTTGTTTTATTGACTACAATGATGAGTAATTTATTCGAGAACGCCTTTAAAACTATTTATACGAAATACATCATTATTGTACACACATATTCATTACATGAATACAATCGCACCAATTCGATTACAGATATAGATGGCAAAGTATGTTGTATGTTATTGCGACCTAGTATTTAAGTCCTTCTCTTTGTACAAAAAAATTGTTTAAACTCAACATCAGAAATGTTGGTTTATTCGAGTTCGCCCTATATTATTTGGTATTGATACGTGTTGGGGGTATAGGTATTCATATTATAATAAATTACAATTAACTACAGCAGGGTCTCGTCATCCAAATATTGGTTAATCAGAACGGAATTAAGAATTATTACACCCAAATTTTAGTCAGCTGAAGATGAGATTTAACATTGTCATTGTGGGGCGGGGGGAGGGGGGTTAACTGCATATCGTCACCAAAGATTTTTTCGAGGAGGAGAAAGATGATTTTTTGCTTTTTAAAAAAAATATTTACTTTAAAAGTCACAAAAGCGTTGAATATGTCTACCTGATAGCTGAAGATATCGTTGAAAACTGTGAAAAACTAATGTTTTTCAGATATTTGAAGCAAAAAGTAATTAATCAGCATAAAGAATCAGTGTTTAATAAAAAAAATTTAAAAAAAAAACTAAATATTTTTATGCAATTTAATTTAATGATAATAATTATTTGTAACATATTATCACTTTAATTTGTAGGCAAAAATAAATTTTAAAATTTAAATTGCATTAAAATGTATGTATTTATTTTTTTTAAACCATAAGTAATACAAACGACTTTTTACCCCAATCCCGTTTAGATTAACGTGACTCTAATGTAAAATTATATGGTTGTTATACTCTGACGTTTTGCCAACATCCAATATTTATACTGCATTACTTATAAATCCATGCAGTGATACGTTTCGATAATTGTCATGAGAAATGTTAGTGAACGTAAGATAAATTATGCACCACATGAAGTATAAATAACAATAAATAGTGATGTGGAATTTAACGTTATTATTATAAATGTGTACCTTTAAATTATATTTAGTGTATTAAATGAACCTTCAACGTTAATTTTAAATGTATATTCAGGGCTCAGAATTATACGCATTTTATGACATTGAAATTGTTTATTTATAATATAATACGTATAGTATTAAAAATACAAGTTCTATTAAAATTGTGGAAAATATTGTTTTTATATGAAACAATTAATATTGAATTTAATATCCATAATTTACATCAGGTTTTAAATATTAATTAATGCATACAGTTCTAGTTTCAGGAAATTATATTGTTTAAAAAGTTTAAAAACTCTATATTATGATATGTAATTATGTTAATTTAAATAAGTATTAAAATCCATGTTGACCACAAACATTTATTCGTTTTATATGAAGAAACTGTGTGAAATTCATATTTTAATTATTAATTATAATATTTTATGATATGCTTATAACAAATAAATAAGTACTATTTCGTTTCATTTAGGGCTCAAATCAAAATGATTTTGGTTTTCTTTAAGTAAAAATAAAAGCATACATGAATATAAGTAATTTAACTAGATATCTGTTTTCGTTACAATACGTATAAAATAAAATAATATTAATACATTTTTTGAGAGAATTTTTTTGTTAATTAATAATTTATAATAACAAGTACATTTATATAGCTATATAAAATATGTAATGTATACTTGGAAATACGTTACAGGCACGCTCATCTTATTTTTAACCATTATCTGTAGGTACACAAAACCTATAATTAAAATAAATTGTTTTAAATAATATTAATGAGTATACTTGATAGCTTTGTTACCGTATTGTTATATGTATTGAAACTCAAATGGTAATTTTTTAATTCTACTAGTTAATATCGTGATTCTGATAAGTTTTTTTAATCTTTGGTTATGTATCAATATTTGAGCTTATAACTTCTGAATATTACTCTAACAATTTGTGTATTGACAATTATAATCGATAACCGATTATTGAAAATTAAAAAAATATGGTATAATACCAGTATGCTTAGATAATCAATTGTGTTAATTGTGATTAATCAGTAACAATTATTAGAAAAGATGTACGGTTTAAAAAATATAAAATGTGAATAAATTATTAATATAAATTTAGCTATTTTCGTTAATTTTTTTCGTTTTTAAATGAAACGAGCATTACATGTTTAATAAATCACTGGTATTTATTATTATATGATCGATAATATTGTCGATGATGATCGAAGTAGATAAATTAAGTTATTTAATTTGGATAAATAGTATGAGTTAATCCGAATCACGCGAATCACGTCAATCGTCATATGTGAAAAGTTATTGATCATGATATATTATAGTTAATAATAATCATGTTATCTGTACTCGTATACGTTTAACCGTCTCGAAATTCAGTGAAGTAGTGACTTATAGTTGTATTTTATATTTGTAGTAGCCATTAGCCAGCATAGAAGACATTACGTAGAAAAATGAGAAACCAATTTTTTATTATTTTTGTTTGGTCATACTGTAAGTGGGGTATTGTTATTGCTATTGAATTTAATGTACGCGTTTTTAATAAATTCTATATAAATACATTTTATAATTTATTTGTTTAATTACTTGGTTTGTATTTTATATTTTTAGACTACGATGTACTACGTATTTTCACATATGAAATATTAAAATGTATATTTTTGGTGTTTGAACAAAAATAAGAATTTGACTATACTCGGTACAATCAATGATATCCATGTTAAATATATGTATTTATAATAATATTATATTTTTCCACTTAATTAGGAATGTCATAAATATAATGTTATAAAATAATTAGTAACAACGTACCTACGCAGTGAAATGATTTTTTTAAGGTCTTCAAAACAATCCCCACGTTCGTTTTAACCGGGTTATTATTTAACTTATAAATTTAAATACATAAACATAGTTTTATTAATATTATTAATGTACGCAATTGGCTGTCTTTCAATTATAATTCTTACGTCCGCAGTTTGTATAATATGCTCACAATTTATTATTAATAAAATCTAAATACACAGTACGTGTCACAGAAATATTATGTTACGTTTAAAAAATATTTTATAATTTTGTATTTTTTATTGATAAGAAAATTCTAATACGCTTTTCAGAATAAAAACATAAATAATTTGTAATTTTTATAAAGCAAAATATGTTTCTCTAGTTTATGAACAATAATAATCCAATTTAAGTTAGGAATCGTCGTACACCGTTATTTAGAGTTTCCTTTAAAATTGAATCGTTTATGTGACGCATAACAGCTGATAACCCTACGATATTTTTGTCTAAGTAAATTGTTAAAAGTGGAAAAAAGTTTAATAACCACTATTTATTTAATATACCCACATTGTGTAGGCATTGAGTGAATTCCTTTTATTTTAGAGAGCACCGCTTTTTTACAATGTATAACCGTAATATTATTGTCGAAACGATGTTTTAGATGAAACTATTATTTATGTTAACTAATAAATAGACTGACCACTGACATATTATGTTATTCTTTTAATTAAACACACACAAACACGCACGAGAGCGTGCGGAAATGAACGTTTTTCTATGTGAAACCACTAAAACATTCTTTTGATCGTGTTCACATAATATACATTAAGTTCATATTATACAAACATACGAGTATATAATTTCACGATAATTCCTCTCATAATTAAAACGTGAAATACTACCTAATTTGTGTGCCTATAACGTACGCCTATTATATTATTAAGTGGAGAATTCATTGTGATGGAACCCTCTCCCTCTTTTAAGTCCTGAGCTCCAATTTACATAAATTTGTTTTGTTTAAATTTAAGGAGATATTTTTGCTTTTTTTATACAATTTTGAAACACTGAAAAATTAGAAATTTTGTTTCTGTGCCTTAATATACGCAGAATTCTAAAACGGCCAATTATGTATATAATTACACCATGTGAATATTTTAGAAGCTAAAATATTAATTTTCATTGAACATTTAACATAGATATGCAGATTCTAAAGGATAAGTCACGCGTTATAGGTAGTTCTACCTGCTGACAGAGCACGTATGATGTTGTACGATGAGTAGGCGTTTATTAGGACGGGCTTTAAAATATCCTCGCATCGTGTCTATAAGTTCATTCACTGACATATTATTATAATGTGTTTTGTATATTTTCGATAGAAAAAGTGATATAATTTGCAATTAGATTATCGTTATTTCAGCAATAGTCTTTACTTCTCGTAGAACAAACCAAATAGGTACGCATATATAATGCGAGTGGGCTAATATTATATAGTTTATAATACAGTCAACTCTTGATAATTTGAAGTTGATAGGACTGTTGAAAAACTTCGAATTAACGAGAATTTGAATTGCTGAGTAGTTCAAAATAACGAGAGGATAAAATAATCGAATTATAGAGAGTTGAGAAAATTATTTTGTTTTTATTATTCTACATATTAATTGTTTCAGTAAATTAGGTGGTACATACTAGAGTTATTAGAGTTATCGACGACTCGACGAGTTAAATTATGATTAGAAACGATTAAGAAATAAATTTATAAAATGATAAGGTTCTTACGATAATATTCTATAGTTATCGAAAATAATAAATTAAGTTTCTATACGATTGTATTGTAAATTATATACAAAAAGATTATAAGAATACAGATAAAATACATTTTGTGAATATACTTCGAATTTCTGAGCGTTGAATGAATGATACTTCGAATTTTCAAATGTTAGTGGCCAGTTTTCCTAAAATTTAATTTCGAATTACCGAGTGTACTTAAATACATTGTTTTCTTTGAATTACCGCATGATTTTCAAGGGACCGAGTATTTACTTTGAATTACCGAAGGTTTGAATTGAAAGGTCCGGTGCAAGAACCAGCTATGTCCACTTTTTGAAATTGTTCAGGAGAAGCAAATAACCAAATAATTTCATTTTTAATGGAGGTATCAATATAGTATATATACATAATTACATTCCCCATATTATCGAGAGTCGATTGTATAAGCATTTTATACGCAAGTAAGTATTAAAATTTCAATTGATGGGAAACGATGGATTTTTCACGTTTTCCGATGGGGTTCCACTCACTGCGTGGTGTCTTCAGAATTACTCCTCCACGAAACATACAGAACGGTAAGCACTGCGGGCGCACCCCAGCCGATAGCGTAGAACCAACGCATCGCATACACGTCGTTGACGAACACCACCACCAATGCCATGTGCAAGTGCAGTCCTTCGCAGAACATCCACATGTAATTAGCTACCATAAAAAATTGTAAAGCCACGTGTAAAGCCCGACAATATATCTGAAAAATAAGTCATAAACGATAATTATTCAAAATAGTATATTATATAGCTATTTTGAAAACTAGCTACGTTTAAAATATTAATCAAGTAAAATATCAGCTCTGGCTTATTAATTAATTATACGATTCGGATCCCTAAACAATAATGTTTTATAATTAGGCATTAAATATTGAATTTTAATATTATTTCAGGCACCACCGTACATCGTACGAATAAATTTAGATGTATAATATTAATTTTGCCGTTCAGTAAAATTCTTTGCTATAAGATATTCTAACCAGTCACACAAATTGTCATCAATCAAACAAAAATCAACGCTGTGACAAATATCTGATGAATATCGCTGAATCTCTTTCGAAGGTGACGAAATTAATAGGTATATATAGTGATATGTAATTTACATAGTCCGTAGCTGATTTGTGTACATGTTTGGGTTATGGTAATAATATAGTTAATAAAATTGTTATTTTCGACGCACTTGTGTTGTGATTAAATCACAAATTTACACTAGATTTCTATCAAAGTTTTATTGTTTTGTTAAGTTAAAGGCTTTGTCTATAGTAGACATTTTCTCGTATTAATCTATTTTGTATATTACGTCAACGTTACATAATTAACTTACGCAAATAACGTTGGTCTATTGTGGGTTTTATAGAGCTCTTGAATTGTATTGTTCTCCAATATTTCAATACATCTATAGGAATATCAAAAACGTGCAAAGGATTTTTCGGTTTATTCCAATTAATATTCTAAGTAGGACGATGCTGGATTGAAGACGTAATTAAAAATAAATTATTCAATCTTTTTTTTTTAAAAAAAAAACTTATCAATCAATTATTTGTAAATGCTTAAGATTTTTTGACAGAAATATTTTCACGATTATACGGCAGTGAACAATCACCTAAGTATTTAAAATATTTTTGATTTTTTTATAATGTAAAAATATAAAATTAATTATGTTTGAATATACACTTTTTAATTATATCTATAGATCATAATGATGCGAGTATTTAGTACTTGAATTCGATATCCAATGCTATGTATTAATATATTATTGTAAATGTAATTCACTGGAATACTAATTTTTTTTTTTTTTTACAAGAAATTAATTTAATATTTATAAAACATAAAATTAAAATAACATAAGTGACATGTTGAGGAAGAAACCCATTGGTAACACTTTTTTTTTACTTATTTAATAGGTCTCTACACCATTTACGCTTTAATCTGTAGAATGGGTTTTTAAAAGGAGTAGTGATGAACATGTGGTATATTATTGAGTATTTGTATGTGTTTTTAAATTTTGGTGGAAACGTTTATACATTATTTTGATTAGTTCAGTGATAGTACTTATTTTTATGTCGTCGTATAGAGAAAGGTTTGAAACGTATTACGGGGCGTAAGTTAGAACCGCAGCGTAATTGATTGAAATGCCTGAATTGGCCTGGTATTAGAAGGTTTGGCAGGACCCCAAACTGCAATTCCATAAGATCAAACTGGTCTTGTGATTGACTCAAATATATATATAAGTAGTTTTTTTTTAAGTGGTATTTTGGAATTGAGAAGAGGATGAAGATGAAGTCTGTTGTTAGCTGATTTTATTTTTTATTTTAAGTGAGGATCCTAGGTTATTCTCTTATCTAATATTATGCCTTAGTATTTAATTTCAGTTTGAACAGGGATAATGATGTTTTTCATAGTTAACTAAGGGCATTCTTGGGAAGATTTTTTCCACGTGAAAGTGATTTGCACAGATTTTTAAGTATTTATTTTGATTTTTCACTTTTTTTGCGTTAATTTTATTTGTTCGATCCTGAAGTGTTTCCAAAACTAAGTTAAGATTCTTACGCGGAATAGCAGTGTTGTCAGCTTATGTTGCAAGAAGGGTATTAGCGGATTAAAGAATTTCGGCTGTCGTTCTGATTATGTATACATTTATTACACCTATATGGGTACATTTTACTTATATATAATATATTATCGTATTAGGCGTTTTACTTAATATTATTCCTTACATATTTCCTATATTGTAATTTTATTTATTTTATGTTTAAATAATATAAGGTAAAATATACTACAATATAATTTATTATTATAATTATTATTATTGTGATTATATTATTTTATTTCTCCCTTAAACAGTCATTTATTTTTTTTTTAATTTATAAATTATAATAAAATGATTATTATATTGTGATCATAAAATAAAAATTTATCCTTGGATGATATTTTCTATGTAATAATATTTTATTTTTAAGTTCATTAACATTCATAATATTCTTAAAAAAATTATCCAGAAGTCTGCATGATTGTTGGACTGTAAAATTGGTTTCAAGTAATACATCAACTGTTGGTTAATAATAATATGTAATAAATATTTTGTTGTTATTATTATTATTTATGTTATTATTGATAATTAAGTAAATAATATGGAAATTTATATTTCAACTAGACCGTTCTGTTTTTATACTATTTACCATCCATTCATATTGAGGTTATATAATGATGTTGCTCGTCGATAATAATATTCTCGTTAAAGACGTTAACAACGTGATGACCCATAAATACATTTTTGTATCATATAGTGTTTATCCATTTGTATACTTAAAATAATGCACATACATAAATAAAAATAAAAACAATTACAAAAATCGATTGAATTTCCGTGAATTTCTGTACATAACAAAATTTTCTATTTTATCGAATTAAAAACTGTATTATAGCGTAGGTTTTTAATTTTCAATTTTTAAATATATATTTATCTAAACGTAAATAGAAAAAAAAAATAGATTAAGACAAAAATGTCCAAAATAGCATCAAAAAACTGAAGTATTTTGAAAGTATCATCATAAATAAAAAATTTAATTAATTTAAATATTGTGTACATATTTTAAGTTTTAACGTTATTAATTTTTTTTTTTTTTTTTTGACTTAAAATAAACAAAACAAAGTTTTTTGATTATTTTTAAAATTAGGTACTTATCAGTTATTCATCATAATCCATGTTCAAAATATGAAATTGAAACATTTTTAATTCTCCAAAACTGATAACACACACAAAAAAATAAATAAAACACTCTTATAATTGTAAAACAATTCATCAACAATTGTATCACTCTACTCAGAATAAAATATACTTAATGCAATATGTTGTATTCGAATTTAAAATTAACAATATTTTATAGATGGAATACATTATATTTTAAACTACGCATAGATGTACTTATGTAACTTAAAAAAAATCATAATTGATACTTATTATTTAATTAAAAATATATTTATAAAATACTTGGCATTTAAATATGTGAAAATTATTACGTATTTTAATATTTCTTTAATATTATAGTGCTTATCCGTAAGTTTAGAAATTAAGTTTAAATTTTTTGTTAATTACATAAAAAAATAAATAATATAAGTTTATTATTTCAGTTAAATAATTAATTAACTAATTTTTCATTAAAACAAATATTTCTTCATTTTAGTCATCAATAAAAAATAAAAATAAAAAAATACTCATATAATAAGCTATAGAACCTTGTACTCAATAAATTATTATGTAATTTATTGCTAAATATTGTTTCTTTTTGTTTACAATTAAATAAATTTTATATTTGTACTTCGATATTTTGATTTTAACCAATGTTTAACAAATTTGTTCAGGTATTTATTTACCAAAGTTTGTTTTAAACTAGTTATTGGTCGTTTTTAATTTTTATAATAACTTTGTCATATAGTAAGAAGTTTTTTCAATGGTGTTTATGTTTTAAACAACAAAATATATATATTATGTAATTAGTGTTAGTCACGTACTTTAAAAATTCATATATTCATCTCGTTACTTATATTAAATACAACACACAACATCAAACATTGCATTATTGAGCGCTATAATATTGTTATTGTTATTATATGTTTTGAATTTTTATCGTTATTTAAGTATAGATTATGTTAAATGAATAATGATAATAGATGGTCGATTAAAATATAGTCGCAGTTATTTTTGGATGACTAAATGCGACCAAGTTAATACGTATATTGTATTGTAGCTGATTCATAATATTAGTGGAACACTGTAGCAAATCTATAGTGAACATTGGTTAGATTACAATAATTATTCTTGTCAAACGTAATGATAAAGTAACTATTTTATAGATTGTATTGTTTTGTGTCTAGTGTTGCTTTGTAATATTTTATTAAGTGTGTATAAAATCTTACTACGCCGGATGTCTATTTGTCGTTTTTTAAACGTTAATATATAGTGAAAAATTGATTTATTATTTTATTAGTAAATATTTTTATACGGTTAATATTTTCCTGATTAAATGGATCAAATTCAATTCAAATTAAATCTCTGTTAAAACGTTTTTATTCAACATAACAATAACTTTATATGTAAGAAAATAAATATTAAAACTTAAAAGCTGTAATTTAAAGAGCAGTATATTTGTTTAAATTACTACTTGAGATCGTATACACATATCTTTATTTTTAAGTACACTCGAATTGTTTGAGAAAACGAACGTTTTGTGTGAGAGAAATAAATCTTATGGCATATACTGTAACTTGTAATAATGCTTTGGCTTACGTTATTTACTGAATATCATCATCGAATGCGCGTAAGTCAGTTTGTAAGGCGTACGTTTCACCAGTCCCCTTCATTTCGATTTTCAAAAATGTTTTTGGTTAAATATTTAGCATACAATTAGCTTTGATTGACGTGACTAATTTTAAAATTTACTTGACACCAGATCAACTTTAAAAATGAAAATAGGATGGAGGAGAGTTGAAAAAATGTTTCTACAATCCCTCTCAACCAAATTTTGAATGTTAAGAGTTTTTTCCTTTCTAATAATTAGCGTGAATTTGCGTGACCTATTTCAAAATCGTACGCCAAAAGCCCCAAGTACCAAACGCTATGCTCTCTTTTATCCATTTTTCCAGCCTCTCCATATTTTTGGTATAGCCCTAGTGTGTCCCAGTTCATTTAGAGTTATCCAGGGTGTACCACGAGGAGTTGAACTAGCTTAAATCTCAAAAATATTTTTTATTTTTATTTATAATTATATATTTTAATTTAATTTACACATTTGAATTAGGACAAGTGTATTAATTATTTTTAAAAGTTTTTTTTTTTTTTTAAGATAAATTTTATTTATTTATTTTATTAAAATCATTATATAAGTTAAAATGCAATTTTCCCATCGTTTTCAGTGTTCCACAACCATAGCTTTAAAAAAAAAGTATTATAGTTGTAAATTTTAACCAACATATTTGATTATTGTCAAATCACTCATACTTGTATTTTGAAAAGTTGATTTTATAATTTTATCTTAAATAGAACTTATAGCTGTAAATTTAGGACGCACTCGGGCTATTCCATAATTTTTTTTTGATAAGACTATGAACGCACTTGGGCTATGATAAAGGTAAAAATTAAAAACGAGACGCACTCAGGATATTTCCGACCTGGTGCCAAGCAAATTTCAAAATTAGCCACGTCAATTTAAGCTAATTGTATGCTAAATATTTAATTTAAAACAATTTTAAAAATCTAAACAGGGGGGGGGGCGTTATTGAGACGTACGTGTTTGAAAGAGCCTGTTTATTAATGCATATTGAAATTTTTGTGGTTTTTAATTCATTCAGAATCGTTAGAAATTGTAATTTATTCCCGAGCCGAACCAATACCATCAACGAACATACGCATATTATATATATACCGTACCTATTAAGTGAGTGCGTGATTAATGGATTTCGGGATTACATAAATTGTATTTTATTCCATAGGTTTTTATTGACATGTTTTATGTTTATTGACTAAAAACTTTTTTTTTTAACCAAGACAAATGCAAATCCGCAAAAATGAACAATAAAATAATAAATAAAAACAATACAGGAGGAAAAACTTTCAGGGTTTGTCACCAGGAACGTAACCAGGGGTTTGTTTTAGAGGGAGTCAAGTTAAAAAAAAAAAATTAATAGGTATTTTAAAAAATTCTTATTATTGAAGTAAAAATCAAATTATTGTAGTATCAACATTCAAAAGTAATAATTATTGTTTAGTAAATAATAATAATAATAAAAAAAAAAAATAAATAAAAAATGTAGGTACAAGTTATATTAATAATAATTTTCTTTTAGTTTTTGCCATTATATCTAACACGTCTTTTGGTGAAACTGATATTCCCTAGTGAATGGATAAAAGAGTCATCCCTGTTAAACGGTAATTTCCAATTTTTTTTCGAAGTAGTGTTTTTGCTTTTTTTAAAGAATAAAACGAACGTTCAATTCGGTTGTATTAATTTTATCTAGTTATTTGATAAACGAAAATCATGATTATTATATTAAAAATTTATCCTTTATGAGGTAGGTAGATATTAATATTGTGTAAGTCTTTATTTACACAGACAAGAGGTTATTATGTGGTTTGGTTTGGTTTGTTTGAGAGTAATTTTTTCTATATATAAAAGTATAAAAGAAAATATTATCGATGATATTTGGGGGGGGGGGGGATCCAGATCTCATGCAACCCTGCCCTGGTTACATCCCTGTTTATCACATATTATTGGCATTTATGGTATTATGGAAATTATATGTATATTATATTAAAAATACATCTCGAGCATACTAATTGACAAGTTGAACTGTTATGATAATAGCATTATGTAAATTATTATACAATTTCAGATGATCAATGTTAGATATACTGGATGATAGAAAAATACAATTTTAAGTCATCAATTAGTATTTATCTTTCTCTCTCTCTCTCTCTCTCTCTCTCTCTATTTACATAATATGATGTGGGTGGGTAATCTAGCATACTCACTCCCATTGATCTTTAAAATTATTTGGATGTTAAGATTTTTAAAATTTTTAAGTACGATTGGTCATATTTTTAGATAGTAACATTTTTTTCTTTTATATACCATTTACAAAGTATCCCATAGTGACATATATAAACTTTCTTTTTTTCAAATGATAACTCATGTTTAATAGAAGTTATAAAAAAAAAAAGAAGAGACGATTATATTCAGTAAATAAATATTTAACTTATCACGTATCACATCATAAAAAAAAATAATTTAAAAAAATCTATAAATAAATAATTAATCACCGACAGAAATAATTTTTTATTTGCATATAACGAGAATATTGTGAAAATCCATGTGGTAACCTATTCTGAATGAAATAACGCTTACCCCGTTTTGTTTGACAATCGACAGGTCTTGCACGACCGTTTTGTACCAAATTATCCATGTGAGGTTGTTCAGTGCCAATGATATAAACAAGTGCACATGTATAGCGATCCTAGTGCACCTCAAAGTCCTGTAACATAGTATATACCATCAAAGTGTTTCGTGATCTATTTGACATACATTGATTTTAAATTCAAACCAGAGTGGTAATTAGCCGAGTGCACTAAAAAAAAATGCTAGACAATTAATATCTTTTTGCATCGTATGCAAACATACAGAGTTTCACTAGTTATAATAGGTCACAAATTTGTTTATGGGCCACACAAAGTTTTCGTTAATTATAACATTATTGTGTGTATTATTACAAAAATAAATTTAAATTAAATATAGAATGAGGATAATAATATTTAAAGTAGTTATCCATTCAGTATCTATTATATAATTGCATGTCGTTCAGATATAACGCCACATATAGATTAAACGTATTTAAAAATAGCCGCCTATAACGTTCATCTATTTTGTTTTAAACTGTGTAATTCCAGTGATAGCGTGGTATGCTTTGCACTTACAGTCGAAGAACGATCGCATATTAGATAATTTATAGTACATAAACGTAAGTAATAAAATGTGAAATTTTGAGATGTTTGCGAATAGACAACGAACTATCTCCATGCCAGTCGATAATATACGCTTGTGTTTTCCTAACGCTTTTCTAGGATAGTTTTTAAACTTTCCGGGCACGTTTTCAATATACACTAAATGCATACGTGTTATATAATATTATTTAATACCATGCACGCGTGTGAATACGGAAGTTCGGGTGTGTATAATGTTAATCGGAATGCGAGAACAGACGCGGAAAGAATCATTCGAAAACGTTTTCGCTCCATGATGTTACACCAACAAGTTTACTGCAACTACTATTGAAGTAAGCGCACGGCATTATCATGTACCGTGTGCTTACTCATTGCACAGCTAAATATACATTGTGCAGTGGCAGGAGAAAACCACATGTAATATTATAATGTTTTTTTAAGAGTTTTTTCTTGAGAACCACGAGTCGGGGTCATTGTCCGCAAAAGCGTTAAAAAGAAAACATGTTGTCTTTTGTTTTACTTGAACGTGAAGAAAATCAGCAATGAAGTGAGCAGAGCGGCCAGCGAGACTGAGTAGCCAAATATGTACAGCGTGTTTATTAGTTCTCGAAACTGAAAAAAAATACGACGAGAATACATTAATGCGATGCAAAAATAGCAATTGAATGTATTCATCGTATAAAAAAAATATTTACATATCTAAAAACAATGAAAGTTTCTGCGTACATGTATGTACATTGCACGCGATTGTGATTTTTTAAATCATGATTATTAACCATTTTTTTTTTCTAATATTAATATTGTAATATATCGAATACCTCGTAGTCTTCAACGTCCACACAGCTGGTGTAATTTGCCCATTGTTTTCCGGTCTCCGGATGTCGGTACCACGTGCCATCTGATAGACAGTTCTTAAATGCTTTTCCTGGAAAAAAATATAGTAAATAAAACACCATCGCACATATTTTGAGTATAAATCATCACAATTAATAAACAATATATTATACGCGAGCTGGAATTGAAAAAAAAATAGTTTTATAAATAATTAATGATGATTAACTTTAAATAAGTATAATAATTTGTCGTTATATTACTATGTAGTGTATATATTTTATCAGTTATATATTCACATTTCATTTATCATTAGTTTCGAAAACACGGACAGCGATAAAAGCATTTTTCATGCACATAATGATTTTTGACGCCGTCTTAGAATCATTAAAATGTTGGGGAATCTATTATTTTGTTTTTTTACATTATTTCCTTTTTAAATCTGAAACGTTCGGTAATCATTTTGGTTTGCAGATATAAGACCCATCATCGCAATAATACGTAGCTACGCTGGTGTTTACTAACTGATTAATACGTCATATTGGCATCGATGATACTTTTAATGCGTTTGTCATAGGATATACGTTAAAACAGGATATCATAACAGTATTTTATCGTTTATTTACGAGAAAAAAAATCTGTATTGTCGGCGTTTTAATACTATTTGCCAAAACGGTCCGCATTCGGATTGGGTATACGCCGATATTACAATAGAAAAGTTTCGAACGCGACTAAAATACAACAATAAATTGACTAAGATATTCGCTAAATTCACCTGGGTTACCAAAATATTTCTTGTGAATCTTTTGTGTGCTTATCCTATCGAAATCGACGTTCACCGCAACGGGGGCTGTTTGTGTGGGCGATATTATTATAATAGCCACTATCTTTGGTACAGACAGGCACGCATACACCAACGTATCTACACTCACACACACACACACACACATACCCACTTACACTCACGCACATACACCCATATACATATGTTTTACTCAATAAATATCATCTGAAATGAACCACGAGACTTGTATTAAGTAAAAATAATGTTAGTTTCAAAAGCAAACTTACATATATGTATATGTGAGTGTGTGTGTGTATAAATATATAAGCTTCTGCCAAAACCCGGTAAGACGAAAAATTGTGTTTAAACGGATTTTTTTATGGTGTCGTGTATATTCATGGAGCTTTCATTTTAGTGGCCATTATATTATTATACACGCGATATTTTAAAAAAATGTATGAAAATACGATATTATAATAACTATTCTTTTATGATCTGTATACATTTTACAATAACGCGTGCTTTTGTTTATATAACATTATATCATAAACGATATCGCAGCTATAAACCCAAATACCTATATGTTTATAATATATTATGATATTTATTTAATAGTAATAATATAACGTATGTGATATCAACAAGATTATAATAATACGTTTTTGCGGTACGTTTAGACTTCCAAAAACTGTTTGAGAATTACTCATCTCACTGCTATATTAGTATATTATAGTATTATGACGATTGATAGTACATCAATATATTGTATATTATTATAAAATGCAAAGTTCAGTGAACCGATGGTGATTAAATAATGATGTCTATAGCATAGAACTATTAAAGAAATAATATATATATATATATATTTATTACGAATTACGATACATTGTTTTATAATATTTTCTAATACTATTATAAGCAAACGATACGAATGCATGTAAAACTGTTAATACACTAGAATGCAATTTAGTCAATTACAGAACTTTCAAAAAATATATATTGTTTGAATTACACTAAACGTATAACAAAATTGTAGGTATTATAACGATGTGTTACAGAAGTCATTTGCTATAAATTTTGGTTTTAAAATATCATATTTTTATTTGTTATTGTCGAGTTTTAAAGTACATTATAATTTATAATATATTACATATACCTAATAATTAAATTGCATCGCAATCGTGTTTTCTAATAAATCACAATAGAAATTCGAAACCTTTACAAAGTTATTAGATTAAAAATAAAAATATTCGTATCATTCCAATTTATTTGATGCTATATGTGAACGATGGCACTGTAATATTAAAATATTGTACGTATGTACAAGCAGAGTTATCACAATTTATAAACACAACTGACATATTACTGAATTTACTATACTTCAAAGAATTATACAATAATATATGTTATGCGCACAATTTTACATAATTGTTTTGTGTTTTAGCTAATTTGTGGGGGAAAATGCTTTTTATAAAATCGTAGTAAGTCAATCTAATTTTTATACTATTCATCAATCAAAACTATATTTTAATATTTTAATCAATTCAAAAGCCCGGGTCTTTATATATAAATCGCGTTATGGCATATTCTTCGAATTGTGATGAGTGTGAAATATTTTGTAATCCAAAATTGGTATAAACCGTTTATTTCATCACAATTATCGAAACGAGTGTGGAATTATAATTTCATAAACGACAAAATAAACGCGTGTTCTGATGCTTAATACTTATATATATTATATATGGATTTATAAATATTGCATAACACAGTGATGTTATGTATAATATAAATTAAAACATAAATAATACGATCTATCGTACGCGTAACAAATAATCATTATCGTATCGTTGCAGATTACAAGAATGTGATTTTTTTAATTTTTGAATCAACAATTAAGTGTATAAACCTCAACCTTACAGTCCCTTTAATATAATAATATAAGACCTTTATTTGATATAAGGATTAGAATAATAATTGGGTATATTTGCAGATTCCATTTCTATTCGAAATAATTATTTGTTTGCGCAGTGTTGCTTAATAATAACACTGTATGACGTAAATTATTTATAACTAGGGCTTGTAAACGTTATAATAACGTTATGGTTATAATTTATAATGTTATATTTGACAAAAAACAATAGAAATTTTTAAACGTAATTATAACGGAAAACGATAAACATAAATAATTAAATAACATGAAACTAAACATAACGATTAACAAAATATATGATATATTCTCAAACAAAACATAACGCAAAACCTTATGTATATATAGTATATCATTAAAAAAAAAATAAAATAAAAATATTAATTATTTAATTAATAAAATTAAAATTATAAAATATGATAAAAATGTTAATTTTGAATAACGATAAACGCAAAATTTGTATAACGTTTTAATTCTAAATAACGTGAAACGAAATTTTTTTTTCAAAAGCAGCCCTGTTTATAATTATATTAGTATTTGTATAGTTGTTATGAGTATTGAATATTTGGCTATGTTATGTATTTTAGTCTCCGTAGTAATAAATATATTGCTTTATCCTCTATGCGCTCACTGATGGCGTATCTTCGTAAATAACGCTTCTGTGTATTTATAATATTTTGAATTCGACCGAAAACCGTCAACATGGTTTGTTGAGTAAGCTGCAAGATCTGTAACTACGATAAAATTTACCTATCTATTTTAAACTGGTGGTGAATAAAAACCAAAGTATTCACATACATATTGTAAATAATAGTATTGTGTTAAATTTATTATACTAAAATTATGGTATCATTTAACTGATTAAGAATGTTTTAATTTTGATCCCAATACTTCAATGGCAGATTATCTTAAAATACAAGATATTTGAAACCAAATAAGTTTGAAAAAATTCTCATTAATAATCACACTTACACAAATTTCATATATCGGCAATCAGAACTTTTCAGTTTTAACTTATAATACACTTGAACGAATACGTGATTCTCAAGTAAACATTTCATCTGCAGTTATTGCACGGTAATGTACTAAATATGACGACGTTTTAATACTTTTTATGTAAACGAATTAATAAAAATAAATATATTGATATTATTCACAAATATCTAATTATATAAAGTGAAAAGCAAATCATAAATTTGTTATTAATTTATGATTAAGTTTACTTGAACATGAAAACAATTTAAACATAAAACAATTATAAATCTGAGAATTCAAAGGGAATAATAATATTATAAACTTTGAGGTAAAAGCTATATTTATCCGAACAATTTAAAAATGACTATATAGAAACTGTATTTAATGGGGACGGCAGTGGTAAATTTCTCCTAAACTTAGATGCTCATTTTGTTTTTGAAAATATTATAATATACACATAAAAACATATATCATATTTATTGACTAAATGGTCAATAATTATATAAAAATGTCATAATTTTGCCAACATTTAGAGCAAGACACACTGTAGGTAAAACAACGGGACAACAAAACCAATAATATTATTTAAAATCAAATGCGTTTGTCTGTGTTGTATCAATAAATCATATTTGAATGGCAATTTTGTTTACAGGAGGGTAAATATTTGAAAAAAGGATTTAATAAATAATGTCAAGCACCGTATTTTATTTATTCAGAGATTGGATAAAGATTTATAATGCATTACACTATATTTATTATTTGAATGTACACATTTGTAATGTAGAGATTTTTGTTGTTTTTAATAGAAATTTTATGATGATTATTCTTATTTAATGGTAACTATGAATAAAGTAACTACAACTAAATTAACTAGAACTATTTACATTTTATGTTTATTTTTTTCAAAGAAAAATTGGTTAATATAAAGGTAAAACACCTTCAGAATTGAACTCTTATGGATGGAATTAAAGAGTTATGTCCGAGGTAATCTCTGAAACTACTTTTGATTTGATATCAATAAAATTAACATAAATAGAAGTCATTGATATTTAATAATATATAGTTATCTATTATATTTATAAATAAATATTTAATAATTGATTTGATGCCGTTTGGTCTTAGTAATCAGTATACCAAATCGTTATACAACCATACAAACTTCTACTACAAGAAAAACTAAGTCGTAAAAATGAAATACGCTTGTTCTAAAAATATTTTCTACAGAACCATATTTTGTTCATTATTTTCGAGCGTAGTCGAATAAAACTGTTAGTTCGTTAATGTAATAAATACACATTTAAAATTGTTTTAATATTTATGTGGCTAGTTTTGTATTAATATTTATTTATTATCTTGTTATTGATTTTATGTTTTGTTATTTTGTTTTATTAATGATTATCCTATTTTA